TAAACAATAGGTTGATTTTGTTTAATGTATACCTGAATTTGATTGCAAGTGAAATAAGACAGTGAGAATAAGAATCAGAACTATAGGATACATAGTGCGTGAATTCAACTCATTTGATTTTAGTACGATATAGTAAAAACAAGAAACGGGCTAAGTAAGGTGTTCCAGTGTTCATGATCAATGTAATTAAATAAAGTTATATACCGAACTTCAAAATAAAAAAAGAAAAGTACACTATGTGTATTGTAGTCTCTATAAAGTACAAATGAATATGAATCTCTTGTCACTATACCGTATCAAGGTATTAATAGAGTTTAAATCTACTTAATTTGGATACACAGATTCAGTTTTATGTTATTATTATCATCGTGATTATTATTACTACACTTGCTAACCTTTTTGAGAAATTTATTCAGCATCCAGCCCTATATACAATATCTGACCTAATTCACGTTATTCTACATATTAAGTAATTTCTGATTTGTAATTACATTATTCTCTCTCACACCCCATGTTTACCATATTTATTCTGATCATTAATCTCACAATTTCATTTCACTTATAAACTGGTTCAAGTTAACACTTCATATTACTTGTCACAATATTAACGATTTAATTTGATTTGATATGACAAACAATTCTTGATTCACATGTTATTATTTTAAATGTTGTACTCTGCCTTAAACCTGGCCAATTTTATGGATTATTAATTTGGATATGATAATTGTAGAACCTGATGAGAAATTATTAAAAAAAGAACATTCTTCGTTCACATAATTAAGTTTTATATTTATTTCCTAAGTCAGTAACTTTTGCCTTTTGTTCAATCCTTAAATGGTTTACTTCTGACTTGCCTGTTTAAACGAGAGTTTGAATAATTAGACTGTTTTTGGTTGTAACTTTACTTAGCGACACTGGAAGGTATTCATGGGAATAGTACTGTATTCCTACAAAACTGACCAAATTAACTTAGACTGAAAAAATAATTGAATTGGTTACAACAAAAATGCATCAAATATTTGAGATACTTCACTTTTAACATTCAGTATCAATTTTACTGCATTACACGTTCTTTTATGTGTTTTTTATCAATTCACCTCTATATCATAAATACATTAATAACAATTCTGTCGACTACACATGCATTCTTGTTTTATTTGTGTGCTGATTCCTTTATGTATGAACTTCTTAAGTTATTAATTTTCTGATTCCTAAAAAAGGTGGAAACAGTGAAACATTTAAAACTCCGAGAAACTCGTAATCGCTGACATTTAATTGATTAAATCATACACTTTATTTGTGTATTTACTTTTTTATTATTCAGTACGTACAGTTTCATGGATTGGAGTTATTCGTATAAAGGCACCAATCATTTATTTTCTTCGTAATCAGGGATTGATGGTGGCTAACAGTAAAATCCAGGACGCACGTTTCGTCCTATTTGGGACTCGTAAGCTAGAGGTACATGCATCTCAGAGTTGAGGCTCACTCCGGGACTAAAACTCATTACCTTTCACTTCAAACGTCGTCACATTATCCACTCAGCTACCGAGTCCAGATAGCCACTAGCTTGGGCAACGGAATTAAGTTTAATTCATTTTTGTATTGTTTGTTTTAACCTTACCATTGATGTTTAGCACTGCAAATGATCAGTCTCTTATCGACAACTTTGCTTGCACTATTCAAAAAAGCCCGGTATTTTATTACTGATTGTCGTCTTTAGATAGGAATCAATGGTTTTAGGAAGAGCGTAAAACGACTGTACGCTTATTTCAATTGCAAATAAATACCGTTCACAACTGGTTAAGCTATTCAGTCTGTCATACTTCACGTAACGAATGATTTTCGGTAATAAACTGACAAATCCCCCACATATTTTTTCTTGTTTCATATCATTTATTTGAATATGTTGGTTATTTGCATGGATATTTGGCTGAAGATCACTATTAATACTTTAGACATTTTGCTGTTCAATGCCACATAATTAATCCATTTAAGATTTTAAACAAAATTGAAATTAAGTGGAACAATGCTTTTTGTCATAATTGTAGGAGAATTCATAAACAAAAACAACACATTGAAAATGTAAATATTTTTCTCAAATATTTAACAATCTAAGTTTAGAAATAAGATTTAGGCAAAAATATTCACACCACTTTTTTATAAATGCAATCCGCAACTCAGACAAAATGTAGGGATCTTATAAATGTAAACAATTTAGGAAAATCAATCTTTTTGATTTAAGGGCTCCTGTCTGATTAAATGAATCTTGTTTTTATCATTAAGAAAGATTTTAAAAATAATTTTATGTTTCTAATAAGAGAAAGCCCCCAAATGCCCTGATGCGGCTGAGGTTGGGAAGAGTTAGCTTTTCCTCTCGAGATGCTCTCACATACCCACACCTATACAGCCACTGCCAGGGAAGTTCTATTCACTGCTTTCTCGCGGTGGGGGTGTTGTTTACGAAATTGAGAGGAAGAAAAGCGATTTTAACCGGTTTGGTTAACATGCAGGATCCCCTTCGGGGAGTTGAAAAACCCTGATTCCAGACCGATTTTACGCACGGGCTCGAGGATCCTGAAGGAACAAATGACCTATGAACCAATCATTGGTCACCTGCTGCCATGGGACTGTATCTCCTGACGTTACTCCACTACCTTGTGGATCAAGCCTTTAGATCGAAGACTCTCGGCGCGACCCCCTTAGAAAACCACCTGCTTCGGTTTGAGTACTCAGGCATATACACAGCCCACACAAAAATCAAGTGAGTTGTGTGACGCATATGTATTCGATGCCCCTTTGTACCAATATTAATATGTTCAAATAAATAAGTAAAGTAAATAATAAGAGAAAATGTGTTTAGCTATTTGGCTAGATGCTTGTATTTTGAATATTATTATTATTATTTAAAACACAGATATATGAAAGCAAAATATTCTTTTCAATAACGCCTCATTAGCTTCTATCGTTTTGCTTTCAAGTGAGCGATTTAGAAGAATAGCCAAATATAAATCAAATATCCCTGTCGACATTTTAGCACTTAAATGTCAGTATTATGAAATTATTTATGTTGAAATGAATAATGTATATTTTCAATCTGAACAAATAAAATAGCCCGATAAACAACTAGTATTTTGTGTAAAAATAGGAATATGTTCAGGCATTTATTTTATCATGGAAAAATAACACGTTCAATTAATCAATAGTTATACTAACTATAAAAAGACCCAACTTCATCAAAGTAAATCTAACCCTCCATTTTGTGTTTTTATAACTTAGATTTAAATTGGTTGTTTGAATCTTGCTATCGTTGTTTAGGACTGGAATGGATTATTCTCTTTTAGTACATGTGTATCCTGTGTAGATTGCCTCGATAATGTCTTAAATGACAGAAATTACAATACTTGAACAAACCAATATAAAAATGAATCCTTTTTTTTCTTTTGTACGTAAAATGATTTTATGATTTTGAAATGAAATGGTTTTAGTGGGTTCATTTTTTTTATTGGGTTGTTTTTTCTTAAAGTTCAGTATGTCAAGTTAGATGGCATAAATTCTATTTATCATCTGGTGTAAATATAAAAGGCTGTAACCGTTTAACGTAATAATTCTAAGCAAAGATAGATAGTGACTAGCAGTGGAATCCAGGACGCGCGTTTTGTCCTATTTGGGACTCGTCAGCTGCATCTCAGAGTTGATGTCCACTCTGGGACTCGAATCCAGTATCTTTGGCTTCAAACGCCATCACGTTATCCACTTACCTTGTAAATTAAGGCAATATCGAGGCAATACGCACAGTATGCACATATGACGATAAGAGACTGATCAATTTCAGTCCTAAACATAAATGGGAAGATTCAAGTAAAACAATATCAAGTGGAATAATTTTAGTGGGTATTGTAAAAAATAGTTAAAATCATCTGAACGTTTAACAAAAAAAATGCTTCTAATATTAAAGTGTAGATCTTAGTGCTGAACTATGTTCAGTTAAATATTTTATATATCTCCACGTTACTCGGCTTGTTATTTATCTATATCATTGGGTTTTATATGATGGATGAATAGAAATAGTATGATGTAAAATATCTTTCAACAACCGTGTATAAATAAAAAACACATTTTTATCTAGACGGAATAAATGTTTTACAAGAATAACAAATATCTTATATGATCACTTTTTGATATTTAGTTCTAAACGTCTAACTGAAGGACAATGATACATACATTTTTGAATTTTAAAATGTCAAATACCCGAGTGAAGCGAATTTCACAGTAAATCAATAACCTATTAATGTGAGCAAAGGAACTTCATTCTACGTCCACAAAGTTATGTACTCATGAATGATAGTTATAGAAATATAAACGTCTGAACTTTATTTCAATTATACTATTCATTTAGGCAAATAAATTATATATTTTAACCTAGTCTGTAAAAATGGAGCTGTGAAATTGAAGTTGTAATTTGCTAGTTTGTTTTTGTAGAATGAGATAAAAAGTATTTCGAATTCCAGTGATTTGGGGAATGTTAGTTAGAAGCGAACAATGATACTAATAATATCTGTTTTATAAATGTCTAGTTATATGTGTATTTAAGAGTTCAGCATTCTTCGAGAAATTGTAAGTTTATTTACTATGTGATTGATAGATGATTTGTTACCTTCCGTTTTTAATTTGTATTCATTCTTTTCATGTAAAACTTCAGCTTTGATTCTTGAATTGACAAAATATTATATTCATGCATTTTGAGTATTTAATGTAGTCGTACACTTAGGTAGCTATAAACTGGATGGTTTGAGAACAGTGACTAGTTAATTTGAATTGAACAGATTAAACATTAGTCTTCATCATGTAGATCCAAGGGATTATAATTTTATTCAATGAGAGATATAATCATATTATATTCTTAAGAAATATCACTGCGTGTTTATTGACTATGTTATTAAGCTATTCAAACTTGAGATGTATATTTCATTTACTATTTTTCTTTCTCAATCTTTTAGCTAAATAATACAATTCCATTATGAGACGGAATGTTGTTTGGTTTACCGTCATTCTTTCAAACAAATAAAATAACAGAAAAAGTTATTTGTTATATATTTTTATTTCCAAAACCGATTCAACTTTATTTTTTATCTGTTAATTCATTTCTAGAATTCAGATATCTAAATGTATGTTGTCAAGACTATTTGCTCAAAAGAAAAAAATATTCTATATTTAAATAATATGCTTGAGAATTGATGAATTTTGTTATCCTTTTATTAAACACTATTTAATATTCTTTATGTACAGTAATTGATACCATACAATATAAAATCTATATGCATAATTAATTGAAATTTATTTTTAAGCTACTTGAATATTTCTTCTTTACTTTTTATGATGTAATTGTCTTTAACGATTATACATTGATAGATTAAGAAAGAGATAGACAAAAATCTTTTGAAACTTTCAATAAATTAGATGTATGAATTCTATAGAATACTTATTAATGTCAATGTATTTATTTTAATATGGTAAATATATTATTTTATTATATGTATTATTATCTTTTTATTATTATTGTCTTTCAATGAGTCTTTGATTTTTCATATGTTTATTTCCAAAAAAAGATGTTTTTATATAGATGTACACGATTGTACAGCTTGACAATAAATTCGTTGAAAGGAGATCCCTTCTCTGAACTTTGTGGTTTTTAATTCTTCAGTGAATTTTTTGTTTTCTTCTTCTTCTTTTAAATTCATAAATAAATTGTATTTTAAAAAAACAAACAAAACAAAAAGAATTTCCCTAATATTACAGATTATCAGATTATTAAGATGATACTTGTAATATATATGAATCCAATGTACAAATTATGAAATAATTATTAAATAAAATAATAAATGTTATTCGTAATTATATTGTGTTGATAATATTTAACATTTGTTTATTTAATGTGTTATTTTGATTGAGATCATGAACCGATTGATGTTAGAATCACCATTGAAAGCCTAGAAGCACTGGACGGCCGCTTCGTTCTATTGTGGGACTCCTCAGCATTGCACTGCTTATCCACGGTCTCGCTCACTAGTGACTAGCTTCGTGAGAAAATTCTCGGAGTTCTAGTGAGAAGTCGTGACCAGTGGAGCTAATCCGTGTCGGGTAGAGACAGTTGTCTACCTCAGTACAATGCAAGATGGTCGCGCAACTTCGTGGATTGGTTGAGGTTAGAAACTAACTCCATTGGATGCCGGCTCAGTGGTCCAGTAGGTTAAGCGTTCTCACGCGAGACTGAAGGCCGTGGGTTCGAATCCAGCGAGCGGGATCATGGATGCGCACTGCTGAGGAGTCCCACAATAGGAGGAAACGGCCGTTCAGTTCTTCTAGTTTTTCAATGGTGATCTAACATCAATCGGTTCATGATCTCAATCAAAACTTAATAATCTCCACAACCCCTAAACTGATGATGTTTTATTCATAAAATTATATTATATTCCGATAATGTAATAAGAAGACGAAGATTATCAGAACTATGTGATATATTAACGCAATACATTTAGAATAATCTGATCACACGTAATAGAATTATTAAGAACATTTATATATAAAAATAAAAAGTCAACTAGACTGGAAATGGGTGTAAGATGAGACAAGGATAATAATAAGAGTAATAATAATAATAATAATGATAATAATAATAATAATAATAATAATAATTTTGATAATGCAATGAGAAGACGAAGTTTATCAGAATTATGTGATATATTAGCGCAATACATTTCGAACAATCTGATCACACATATACTTGTTAAGAGCATTTATATATAAAAATAAAAGGTCAACTAGACAGGTTAAGGGTAAGTCATGACAAAGGAAAAATATTAAAGTACAAAAAAAACAAATGTGATTACCACTCTGGATAATAAATCAGTATTACCAGGGTAGGTTTAGTGTAAGGACAAATTGTTTTTGAACACACAAAGGGGGTTTTAGTTTCCGTATAGCCAAGGCTTCAATAAACCTTAGTATACGTCCTTGAAGGCTTTTGTATAACACTACAAATGCTGATTTGATGTCGACCTTATGACCCGTCTCAATCAAATGTTTCGCAATGGAGGATGATGTCTGTCTATCCTGTGATCTTATTTGACCATTGGAATCCATTTGTTTTTGCAACCATTTTGGTATGTGTTCACCCATCCTTAATTGCAAATCACGATTGCTCCTCCCTATGTACGTGTTTCCACACATACATGTAAATTGATAGACACAATGGGATGTGACACAATCGCTTACGTGCTGTTTGGGCTTTTGGTGAAACATAGACCTTGTCTTTTCAATAATGACAAGTTGGGCTGCATAAAATGTCCGGTTGATGGCTAATTTAAGTCTCCGTTTCAACATGAGACTATTTGTGTCGCCTCTGAATGGCAACGTAATATAAACTCGCTTTTTGGGTGCCAGAAGCATCATAGATCTAATCGTATTGCAACCCTTCCAGCGGTTTATGAACTTCAAGGGATAACCATTATTCACTAACGTATCAGTCAGGAGCTTCGTCTCGACTTCAATAGTATCACTAGTACAGATACGATTGATTCTACTGAATAAGCTCTTTATTAAACCGCGTTTGTAATGAATAGGGCAGTGACTATGAAAATTAAGGTATTGCCCTGTCCATGTTGGCTTTTTGTAGATAGCACGTTGGATAGAACCATCATCTCTCCTACTGATCAAGACGTCTAGAAAAGGAAGTCTGTTGTTCTTCTCTTCTTCGCATGTAAGAGAAATGTGGTTTTGACTTCTATTGAATTCTTTTAACAAGCGGTTTATGTCATCACCTGTATCCCCTATGATTATTATATCATCAACATATCGTTTATACAATCCCATCTTTTGAATTGAGTTTTCAACTAAATTTTCCACATATCCCATGAACACATCAGCCAACAATGGTCCTAGAGGACTCCCCATAGCTACACCATCTATTTGTCGGAAGTGCTCACCTTCAAAAGTGAATTTTACATTATCTGTACACAATAATAATAAATCTTTAAGAGTGCTGACAGGAAATGGAAGAGGAAGGTTATTCAAAGAAATATAGTCACACAAAATATCAACAGTTTTCCTGAGAGGTACATTTGTAAATAAAGTATTCACGTCGAAAGAGCACATTGTCTTTGTCTTTATATTTATGTTCTTTAAGCAATTAATCAATTCAAATGAGTCAGTCAACGAATACTTACAATATTGATTTCTGATAGGATTTAGTACTTTTGTAAGCCATTTCGCAAGGTTGTGTGTAGGCGACCGACACATTGATAGAATTGGGCGGAGGGGAATATTAGGCTTATGAATTTTTGGTAATCCATATAAATTTGGATATGCCGAACCCATAGGTTTTAATAAGTTATACTCATCCTTATTAATAGCTTTCATGTTTAACAATTTCATAAGATTTGAGTTTACTTTCTTTTCTAATTTACGTAATCCATCGGAGTCAACATCAGCCAAAAATTTGCTTTTATCACTGAGAATGGATTCCATTTTATTTTGGTAATCGGACTTATTCATAATAACAACACCAGATCCTTTGTCGGGTTTAAGTATAATAATATCAGGATTATTTCGCAATTCTTTTAATGATTTGAAGTGGTGAGAAGTTAATATGCTTCTCTGTTTTGGTCCAGAAGAATGAAACTGATGCGCTATATCTACTAGTTTGGCTTTAAACCAACTTTGATTCTCTAAGGACGAAGGGGTTAAAGTACTCAATTGATCATAGAGGTTTTCAAATTGGGCAATTTGAAAACCTCTATGATCAATTGAGTACTTTAACCCCTTCGTCCTTAGAGAATCAAAGTTGGTTTAAAGCCAAACTAGTAGATATAGCGCATCAGTTTCATTCTTCTGGACCAAAACAGAGAAGCATATTAACTTCTCACCACTTCAAATCATTAAAAGAATTGCGAAATAATCCTGATATTATTATACTTAAACCCGACAAAGGATCTGGTGTTGTTATTATGAATAAGTCCGATTACCAAAATAAAATGGAATCCATTCTCAGTGATAAAAGCAAATTTTTGGCTGATGTTGACTCCGATGGATTACGTAAATTAGAAAAGAAAGTAAACTCAAATCTTATGAAATTGTTAAACATGAAAGCTATTAATAAGGATGAGTATAACTTATTAAAACCTATGGGTTCGGCATATCCAAATTTATATGGATTACCAAAAATTCATAAGCCTAATATTCCCCTCCGCCCAATTCTATCAATGTGTCGGTCGCCTACACACAACCTTGCGAAATGGCTTACAAAAGTACTAAATCCTATCAGAAATCAATATTGTAAGTATTCGTTGACTGACTCATTTGAATTGATTAATTGCTTAAAGAACATAAATATAAAGACAAAGACAATGTGCTCTTTCGACGTGAATACTTTATTTACAAATGTACCTCTCAGGAAAACTGTTGATATTTTGTGTGACTATATTTCTTTGAATAACCTTCCTCTTCCATTTCCTGTCAGCACTCTTAAAGATTTATTATTATTGTGTACAGATAATGTAAAATTCACTTTTGAAGGTGAGCACTTCCGACAAATAGATGGTGTAGCTATGGGGAGTCCTCTAGGACCATTGTTGGCTGATGTGTTCATGGGATATGTGGAAAATTTAGTTGAAAACTCAATTCAAAAGATGGGATTGTATAAACGATATGTTGATGATATAATAATCATAGGGGATACAGGTGATGACATAAACCGCTTGTTAAAAGAATTCAATAGAAGTCAAAACCACATTTCTCTTACATGCGAAGAAGAGAAGAACAACAGACTTCCTTTTCTAGACGTCTTGATCAGTAGGAGAGATGATGGTTCTATCCAACGTGCTATCTACAAAAAGCCAACATGGACAGGGCAATACCTTAATTTTCATAGTCACTGCCCTATTCATTACAAACGCGGTTTAATAAAGAGCTTATTCAGTAGAATCAATCGTATCTGTACTAGTGATACTATTGAAGTCGAGACGAAGCTCCTGACTGATACGTTAGTGAATAATGGTTATCCCTTGAAGTTCATAAACCGCTGGAAGGGTTGCAATACGATTAGATCTATGATGCTTCTGGCACCCAAAAAGCGAGTTTATATTACGTTGCCATTCAGAGGCGACACAAATAGTCTCATGTTGAAACGGAGACTTAAATTAGCCATCAACCGGACATTTTATGCAGCCCAACTTGTCATTATTGAAAAGACAAGGTCTATGTTTCACCAAAAGCCCAAACAGCACGTAAGCGATTGTGTCACATCCCATTGTGTCTATCAATTTACATGTATGTGTGGAAACACGTACATAGGGAGGAGCAATCGTGATTTGCAATTAAGGATGGGTGAACACATACCAAAATGGTTGCAAAAACAAATGGATTCCAATGGTCAAATAAGATCACAGGATAGACAGACATCATCCTCCATTGCGAAACATTTGATTGAGACGGGTCATAAGGTCGACATCAAATCAGCATTTGTAGTGTTATACAAAAGCCTTCAAGGACGTATACTAAGGTTTATTGAAGCCTTGGCTATACGGAAACTAAAACCCCCTTTGTGTGTTCAAAAACAATTTGTCCTTACACTAAACCTACCCTGGTAATACTGATTTATTATCCAGAGTGGTAATCACATTTGTTTTTTTTTGTACTTTAATATTTTTCCTTTGTCATGACTTACCCTTAACCTGTCTAGTTGACCTTTTATTTTTATATATAAATGCTCTTAACAAGTATATGTGTGATCAGATTGTTCGAAATGTATTGCGCTAATATATCACATAATTCTGATAAACTTCGTCTTCTCATTGCATTATCAAAATTTATCAAAGGGACCAACTGTTTTAAATAA